GGGGGGGGGGGGGGGGGGGGGGGGGGGGGGGGGGGGGACGTGTGTGTGTGCACAGAATGCAATGCGTCGTGGATGGGGAGCAGAGGAAAGTGACGACCGGAACCGCGAGCGACCGAGCCAGACGCGAGAGCGAGGCAGACGCAGAGCGAGAAGAAAAAAATATGCGTAGAGGAGGAGCAGAATGATCAAGAAGCGCCCGAAGATTCCTGAGAGATGGGAATACCGCTATGTGAGCGGCCGAGAGCGCCGAAATGGAGCCCTCTCAGCGCCCGAGAGAACTTCTCCTGCACGCTCGCGGAATGTTTAAAATGAACTGTTGATACGGTCTTATGGCGAGCGTCGGTTTTATGGGCCTGTGATTGGTCCGCTGGGTGCTTTCGTCTGATGTATGCGGCGGGTCATTTGCCTTTATTATTTTGCATGCAATAGTTGACGACTGGTTGGACTGGCCGGCCACCCCTCTCTGCCTGATCGCCCGACCACAGCGTGTGTGCGTGTATTGTTGTTCCGTGTTGGCTTCACTCCAACATTCCCAAAAGCACAGCAGCCATCGTCAATCAACGATCGGTCGCTTTTTGTCGTTTATCATGGGCTGTCCTTCTTGGCCGTAAGCGCACAAAGGAGGCCCTTACAATAGTCAAGCGTCCCCACCACGGTCCTGCTATTTGTGAATGTTAGAAGAAGCACACGCCAAATATGGTGTCTCTTGTTTTACTTTCTCCTTCTGTAAGTGTTCACCGCATTCCCTTCTGCTTTGCTTCCCTGGCCAGGTGGGTGGGCCGATCTTGGTGCTGAATGGGGAAGGAGCCAAGTCCAGCGGGCCAGTGAACAACGTGGTCTTCTTGGAGCAAACGGCCCCATCGTACGCCCCCGCGGTACGTTCTCGTACCCGGCATGATACAAGGATGAGATGTTTGGATCCTGCTGCCGTCTTGATGTGTAATAATTACTCGTGTGCGTGATTCTGGTGCGTGCTGTCATGCTCGCCGAAAACCCGTGTACACGAGTTTGTCGTTCGTTGCACCTCAACTTATGTGCGTACGCTGCAGCAGTTTGAAGGACGTGCTTTCCAGCATTGGCCTGTTTTTTGTCGCACTTCTGTAGAGCGTGTTGTTGGTATTTCAGGGTGCTGCGCTGTACCATACCATCGTTGTGTTCGTACCCCGCTGGGTAATTGGTCGCGTTCCCGCTCTCGGTCTCCTGGCTACGACCGATGCTAAGTAGCAGTCGAGCACATGCTTCGAATTCAAAGCACGTGTTTTGTTTTCACGACGACACTGTCGCTACAAACTCACCCGTAGGTGGCAATGAGACTTCGACGATGTTTTTGCCATGCATGCAATCGCTGTTGATCCAGCTTGTACTCACTCAGATTCCCGGCTGGTTCAAGCACCGGGCACACCGATTGTCGAGCGGAACAAAGTTGAACAAAGTGTTCCCATGTGCTTGCTTCCTGCCCCCCCCCGCCCCCCCATTCCGGGTGTCTTTGCAGGGAAAGTCGTTGGCGTCTGTAACCGTGGTCGGAAGCCCCGACTGCAGCGACAGCGAGCTCGAGGCGAAGGTGCGCGCTCACCTCGCGGAGTGGTTCGACAAGAACAATGGGGGCGACGCGGGGGCGGGGGGCTTGCCGACGCGAGGGGCGGACGTGGCCAAGTGGAAACACCTCCGAACGTACCGCGTGCCGTACGCCCAGCCCGCGCAGCGACCACCGGTCAGGGAGGGTGGGTTCTACGGGAGGAAGGTCCAGGTGAGATTGTACGGAGGCCGTCGGTCCTCTTGAGCCTGTTTTTCTTTTGCCTCCCTCGTGTCTGGCCTTCTCTTCCACTTGCTCGGTTGCTTCTTTTTGCAAGCTCGCAGTTGTTATTTTCTCGTTCATACGAGACCGTTCTGTGTTTTGTTTTTTCACGCGCTTCGGACAGACATACGTTTGTGCTTCAGACTCGTACAATCAACAACCATCGGGCTGAAATCAACTATTTTTAACTCAACGGCAGGTGGACGACGCGATATTCGTGTGCGGTGATCATCGAGCGACGCCGACCCTCGACGGGGCAATGAAGTCCGGGGTGCTTGCCGGCGAGGCGGTCACGACTGACCTTATCGCGGGCGAGAGTCGCCCCATCATGCGCAAAGGGCAACCATACCGGAGACGGAAGCAAGTCCGGGTGTAGGAGGGTCGCGTGTCGTAGCGCACCAGGGTGACTGACCTCTTGATGTCTTAGGAGCGTGGTTCTCTCTTTCCTGTCGTATCGCGCTCGCTCTGGATGTCTCTGCTCGGCTTGATTTAAATTCAACCGAGGTAGTGTTGAACCATGCACAACTAGTGCCTGCGTAGCTGTTTCGCTCGGTTCGTGGCAAGGCGGTTTAGAATTTTTCGTTGACTTTGGCCGTGGTCCGCTCGAGGTCGGCATCGTTCTTTGGATCTTGGCTAGGGTTGGTCTACACCTGTTCGGTGGCATTTCACCTCCACTGCCCGTGATTTGGCTCCACCGTCTCTTACGTACGATATATGGTAAATACACCTAGGCGTTTTTGCCAGTACTGCTGTGATAGCGGTCGGAATCATGGAGCGCAGGCTACCACAGGCCATGCCACTGAGGGCTGATTCGGGTCGTGGCTGGGTTCCGTGTCGCGGTATGTTGGCCGTCTTTTGAGTCCCAAGCACAAGGGGGGGGAGGCTGGAGACCACAACAGAGTCCATTCCCGAATGAACGGCTGGTGTCTTTTTTCGGTGTGCTCGAGACATGTTACATGTATGTGCTATCACGGAACGGGTAAGATGCCAATCAAGGTCGAATTGCTGCAGCCATATTTGAATCAAATTGATTTTGTGTTGCGGCTCTCGGGCAGGCATCTCAAGGTAGTCTGTGCTGGAGAACGGACGTTCGACGCCTCTACTGTTGTACATGTCTTCAACGGCCGGGAGGGTGGGTGTGACAATCTGCCTCGCTCATCGTAAGAACACTGCTGTTCTGCACCAAGTGACATCAGGTCCTCTGATGCCCGCACGGTCTATTCCTTTGCTTGCGACACCAGACCACCTCACTTGACGTGCTAAAAAGGATTTCCGTACGCACATACAGAGTCCTGCTCTGTGAGCATGCTGTCCTCGCCGAAGACCAAAAACATTACGCGAAGCCGAAACCGTACAAACACACATTTTTGCTTTTTTGGTCTTCACCTCAAATCAGCGCTCACAGCACACGAGTGCCGTTTACTCCAACCCGTGGTCACACAGAAGAACTCCTCTCTACCCTCCCCTCCTGCGGTACTTTGCCTTTGGTAGGAGTTTTTTCCGCGCGCGAAGCGCGCGTGCGAAAATAAAAACGGAGCGATAGCGGAGTTTTTTTTTCGCAAAAAAACTGTTTTAGATGGGTCCTTTTGTTTCCCCGCCTGGGTTCAGCGCACGTTGAATAACACCGCCTGTCAGCCCGACCCCTGAATTAATTACTGAAGGAGAAATAAATACACGCACAGAAAGACTACCCATTCGAGATATACCCACAGTCGAACGGGATGTGGTGGAGTCTTTTCAGTAAGTGGAGGGAAACCGTCTGGGTACTGGACTTATTTCGAGTCTTTGTAAGTCTATACACTGATGATTTATCAGTGATGCCAGCTGGTGCTAAGCACAAAAACATCTGTATAGGTAAATCTACATTTCACAATACATCCCCTGTAGTTCTATACTGGGTCAACGACAAAATATCGGGGAGAATCCCTCCGTAGTGTCGTGTACTGTAAGATGTGACCTTCACAGGGGACACGGCGCAGTGTCTATTGACAGCTTGCTGGTTTTAGGAATTTATGGAGGAATAAATAATATTGATGTAAAATCATGGAAGATGGAAAGAAGGCTACAACAGCAGTACATCACTCGTTTTTCAAACCTATAGATTTTTGAATTTTACGGGCAGTAGGTGTTTACGCCGTTTTTTTCAAGGCTCCTCTCGTGAACGATTTGTCACTTTGGGAACGTTCCGTACGGGAACCAGCCACCACGGTAATGCACGGTAATATTTGGGTGGGAACTGGCCACCACGGAACGTTCCATACGGGAACCAGCAACCACGGTAATGCACGGTAATATTTGGGTGGGAATTGGCCACCGCGGGAATTCCCGTACGGGAACCAGCAACCACGGGAATTGGTTGGGTGGGAACTGGCCACCACGGTAATGCACGGTAACGTTGGATGGTAGCACCCCCCCCACACGGCGAAGTACAGGGTTCCTTGTCAGTGCGTGTGACACCCAAATATTGTGTCACAAGAAGAAAACAAAACCACAAAGGAGTGAACCTGTAAAGTGTGTTTTCTTCTCTTGTTCAATTGTTTGGAGATTACAGGCGAAATATCTCTGCGCTCCTTGTCAAATTACCGAAAGACGAAAGACGACGAACTATTTCCCGATCTAGTTCTAGAGCTACGCCTAGAAACACAATCACTACCGAAACGTGAAGACCGACGAAGGCACCACACTTATCTGCGAGACGAAGACTACCAGATTACCGGCGACAACGCACACACGCATGCTTAAACCACATGATACCGCCCGTACACTATATTATTCGCCAACAGCAGTTCCGCAGTTCAAAAACAATACTGGAGTGAAACAACACTTTATATTGTGTGTCAAGACGACAGCGTCGCCAGCTGCTTCCGCCTCGACTTGTGCAACTTTCTCTTGGCACCGAGCTGCC